TTTCAACCGTGAGATCCCGGAGCCCTTACAGAGTGTACGTATGCAGAAACACTGCGAATTCTCGTATGCGTTGGGTGAATGGTAACGTTGTAAATACTTCTCCGTAATCACCGTCGAGTGTGGACATTTTTAAGGTTCCTCTGTTCGTCTGTACGTAAGATGCAAATTGCAAACACTCCGGGCTTCTCGAGCGTTGTTTCTTTATCGAGCAGTTAGACAACTGTGTAAAGGTGGAACGAAAGACAAGTGTGTAACGGCTCGTTTGGCTTTTGTAAATTTCCGCGAGTTAGCCGTAACAGTTAGAGACCGTCGAGTAATCTCTGGCCGGTGATAATTCAACGGCGGTTGACTTTAATCGCGGTCCCTACGGGCCGTTCTCTGTCCCCTGATGGATTTAAACGATCGTATGACAAAGTAGCGGACCGTGTATCATTTTATATAAACTCGGTTACTCGTGCAACGCGAAGAGAGAAAGAGAGGCAGGTAGATGGACAGATAGAGAAGGGAAGATTGTACAATCTCGAGAGTGTTCGTATGAGTTCACCTACGGATCCTCTGTGCATTCTTCCCTTGTGCACGGAGCACACGCGAGCACACACCGAGTTTACGATCGATCTGTCACGTCGCGAGCAACTGGTAATAAAGTTGGATGTGGAACAACCGACTGTCACCACGTTCGCAAAACTTCCACTCACGACGTGTGTACCGCGTTTCCTCTCGCTGCTTCTAAAAGCTCAACGCGACGACATCTCTACACGCTGGATACGTCGAGTCATCCTTTGATTCGTGATTCTGCATGGGTAATTGGTATCTTTCGGTTAATTCTTTCTCACTTTCTCCATTAGGCTGTGATCTTTGCAGTTGTGTCATGGTATACCGTAGGTACACTATTCTGTTCTTCTTAGTCTTTCTTATTTTTCACCTTTCAACCCTTCCGTGAGCAAATGTGACCGATTTCACGGTCACAAATCAATTTTTTTTCTTCCAAAAATTTAGAAATCTCGAAAATGTTTTATCTCAAACGAGAGATATTTATCTCACCGAAGGCTGTGATATCTCCATACACTATTCTGTTCTTCTTGGCTAAAATGTCCTGTCCAACGATCTCTCAGTTTTGATATTCGAAGCTCCGTGTATTTCTCACCTGTCAACCCTTTCGTGAGCAAAAGTGACCGATTACCTGGGTCCCTAATGTATATAAAATTCACTAATCTCAAATATTCTCATATTCATCCCACTGGGAACGAAGGGGTTGAGCAAAGTCGGAACGCCCCGTGTGCTTCCTAGGATTCTATTTTTTTACGGTAAAATCTCTCAATTTTTCCGATTAAGATCATCTCTGCATAGTACCCAAAGTCACTTACAGACCCTGAACATTCGAATCGTCTATCGTGTCAAGCAACTAGACACGCAATTCTCGAGTAACCATCGTAAGAGACTCCGAGAGGGGCCCTGAGAAAAGGGTGTCCACCTAACTGGTTCATTAAAACTGGTTCACTTCTCGATTGTTTCCAATCGAGCGTCGACTCCATTCTCCGTCCACCAATCGAATCTACCTACCTTGATGCTTTCGGACATGAACGAAACGAAAGGCGAAGGAGAGGACGGACAGATGAAAGGGGCCGCAGAAGGTTGGCGTGGCTTTGCGGTTGATTAAACCGAAACGCGACCACGAGGCAGGAGGAACCTTCTAGGCGAGTGAACGCGTGCGAGGTAGTAGAGTGTTGCCTGTGTGTGTGCGTGCGTGCACACACGTACCGAGTACGTAGGGAAGATGGCGCCGTCACCGAAATGGCTGCACCTTCGCGTTGATAAAGCGCGCGAACCTACCTGGAAAGGTGTGCATCGACGATCAGAGAGAAAGAGAGCGCGTGTGTGTGTGAGTGAGCGAGAGAGAGAGAGAGAGTGTATGTGAGCGGGAAAAGGGGGGACAGAGGTGGTAACGCGAGAACGACAGAGAGGGAAAGAAAGAAGTCGGATATCACCCCTAGTTACGAGCGGTAACGAGGGGCGGAGTCGTTGGAGCCGCACACCTGCCTCGTTTCGAACTGGCCATGGTCACTCACCCCCGTTTTTATCCCCCTTAAAGGCTACGCCATGACAAACGCGTTTACGTTAACCGACGTGGCGTCGAGGGTCGCGAGAAATGGCCGTTTCACCGGACTTTAATGGTTGATTCGGTGGATCGTTCCTTCGGCCGCTTCGGGGATGCTCCGCGTTTGTATCTCTTCGTGTTTCGAGTGTTGCACGGGGCTCGAAGGGTTGGGGCGGAGTTGTATTACCGTGGGATTATTGCTGCCCGGAGTTTATGGGCCGATTTATTTTCGGCAAACCTGAGTAATGGGTTTTCATCATCGAGGGGGCTTTTATTTCTATATTTGATCGAGTGTAGCTCGATCCTCCCACCGGTTCGAGACTTGGTCGAGGATATTTGTCGGACGAGCTTCGGAACAATTTTCCACCGAAATTCGCCGGAGTTCGAACGTGAATTGTCTAGGAAACGCAGGGGAAAAAAGTGATCTTGCGTCTAGACCGCTACTAATTCATCGCTCGAGGGGGAGGAAGGATTGCGAGAAACAAAGGCTCGACGTGGAAACGGGAAGAGATGGACGGGCCGATTAGCAATCGCCATGGAAACAAGCAGTTGATGCGATCAAGCCGAGCGCGAGAGAGGAAAGAGAAGAGAAGAGCGATCTGGCGTTGACGTACGATCATAGCTGCCTATATACGCGTATATAATACGATTTGTATATAGATATACGCGACACGTCTCTATATTCTAACGGGAAACGGCTTGGCGTGCATACAGCGTCCGTATTTAAAGCGGTCCACGAAAACGCCACCCTTTCTGCGCGTGTGTGTCTCTGTGTACGCGTATGCGTGTGTGGCGGTTGATACCGGAGCTCGAGCGAGAGATAGATTGGGAGAAGCGTGTAGAGAAAACGAGGCGTCGCTGGAAAGAGAAGGAAAAAGTCGGAGCATGAGCACACGAGAAAAAGGAAACAGAGAAGCGAAGGGGTGGAATAGAGGGAGAGAGAGAGAGATAGGTGGACGTAGAAGAGGCGGAGAGATAGAGGCTCGACAACGAGAGGTGGAGGTGGAGGGCAGGGAGGCGGAATCGGTAGAAAGCAGCAGTTCCCGCTCTCGGGGGCGGCTGGCTGTTATCATGAGAAACAAGCTTCCACTCTGATTTTTTAATCCGATCCCGCACCCCCTGCCACCGGCTGAATTTTAAAATAACTGCAGAACGCCATTTGCTCCTCGCAAACAGACCGGGGTTAAGCCATCCTCCTCTACCTCTCTCCCTCTCGCCGCTTTTCTATCTTCCTGTTCCTCTCTGTTTCACCGGCATACCACCATGCCTGCTGCCTCCATCTCTCCTTTCATCCTTCTGCTCTACCACCTTCTTCCGTTCCTCCTGTTTCGTAGTCTCCACTCTCTTTCGCTCTCTTCGCCCTCGTGTCTACGCGCGCCAACCCTCTCTCCCCAGGTTTTGCTACAGGACGGATATAGGAGGGATAGGACGCCAGGATACGACGGAACAAAGAGGATGGAAACGCTCTCAGGCTAGGCTGTGTGATGCCAAATTGAAATGTTTAGCGCCTCGTTTCAGCCGCTGCGACGTCCCCCGCGTGTGCGTTTGCCGCGGAGGAAGAAAGACAGATGGGGCGGCACCGAGGGAACAAGCAGTAAGATAGGGGCGGAAAGAAGATAGAAGAGCGGGTGCAGATAGCGCGTGTAGGCCTGCCCCGGGGAGAAGGGTAGATAAGTGACAGTTTTATTAATTTCCCATCTCCTCGTGCCACCTACCCTCGCGATTCCAGGACGTCAGTCGCGCGTCCACACACGCCTTGCCTCTCTCTTACTCTCTCGATGGAACCGAAAGAGGGTGAGAGAATAAAGCTCAATAATGGCGGCTGCCCGTCACGTAACTCTGACGAAGGTGTGTGTGTGTGTGTTTCGAAGTTCAGATCGACGATATCTTATCTCCAAGAGTTGTCTATTCCTGTGATTCTTCCTAAGGCATAGAAATTTTCCGAGTTGAAGAAGAAAAATAGAAGGATACGGCGAACTCGTATATATAAAGCATACTTACTCCTGTGTCTCGGAGCACCGAGAGATAGAGGGAGAGCAAAAGAAACACGGCAGAGCGGAAGACCGCAACGTCGGGGGAAAGGATGTCGAGATGTCGCGGCGGGGGTGTGGGAGTGCTGGAACAAGGAAAAAAGCGAAGAACCAGGAGAGAGGGTAGGAGAAGAAGAAGGGAGTAAGCATCTCTCCGAGCCGCGCTTGCCGCTGGAAAATTTAATTTCGATCCCGTCGATTCAGCAGTTATACCGAAGTTTAATCTTTGATAAGGGTTAGTCTTTTAGTAATGGGATCCCAGGGGGTCGGTCGCTCCGGTCCGACTGGGCGAGGCGCACCGAGAGACGAGAGGGGGAGATCTCCCTCTCTCTTTCTTTCTCTCTCTCGAGTCTCCTTTCCACTCCGTACTCCTCTCTTTAGCTGGTCGGGATGGAAGGAAGGCGCTTAAACCGTTAGATAGAGATCTGCTCTTGGGATGAAAGTAGTAGCTACCCGCTTATATCGTTCCTCTAACCGAGCAGGACTCGGACTTTTATACCGGGCTACGGGGGAAGGCGTAACGAGCCTCACGATTGGATAAGTTTCCCGACACGAGCTTCCACCCGGAGGCAAAGCCTTCTTCGCCGTGTTCTTCCCCTCTTCTTCTTCCGTCGTTGTGTGTCTCTGTTATCCAGCTTGCTCGTGTAACGTATCGCGACTTGTGTACGTCCCAGGCCGCCTTATATCCGGGTCACGTGCATCCTATGACGATGAGAACGACCGACGTTCGAGGGATTTAATAAAAGGATACACTCGGTCCCGTTAAAGATGCCTTTGGTAGCCTCGGTTTTGCAGATTTGTCGATTTTTCACGTTGCAAAAGCTTTCTCGAGGCTTTTTGTTTACTCAACAGCCCCTGAATTTATTCTGTTGCAGCTACGGCATGGATCTGAACGGCGCGAGACGGAAAAACGCGACGCGCGAAACGACGAGTACGTTGAAGGCCTGGCTGAACGAGCACAAGAAGAACCCTTATCCTACCAAAGGCGAGAAGATCATGCTGGCCATCATCACGAAGATGACCCTGACTCAGGTGTCGACGTGGTTCGCGAACGCGCGGAGACGTCTCAAAAAGGAGAACAAGATGACCTGGGAGCCTAGGAACAGGGTCGAGGACGAGGACAACAACAACGAGGACGACGACAGCGGAAGAAAGAGCGTGGACGAGAAAGACCGGCTAGGTAAGCAACCTCGTCGACCTTTCTCCACCTATTTCCCACTCAAATCGAGTCCACCTCCCATAGATCCTCTCCCCTTTCATCGCCCAAAGACAAAAATCCTATTCTCTGTCACAGATTCAAAAGACTCTGGCACCGGGTCGAGCGAGGACGGAGAACGACCAACTCACAGGATGGAACTTCTAGGCACCAGCGGAGGATCCACCGGTGTCCAAGGTAGAACCGAGAGCGAATGGAGCGAGTCACGGGCGGACAGCGGTCCGGACAGTCCAGAATGTCTGTACGATCAAAGAGAGCCCAGGCATCCTTTGCAACTTCAACATCCGGCGTACCTAACCACGTCTCACGGTCGACTGTTGCGCCACCCGTCCCCGGAGAGTACGCCTCCGAGTAGTCATCATCTTCCTCCGAGTACCACCGCCTCGTCCACGGGCAGCGGTGTCACCACGAAGCCTAGGATCTGGTCTCTGGCCGACATGGCGAGCAAAGACGGCGAACAACAGAGTCCTACACCGACAACGATGACCGGTCTCTCGTCGCCTTACGGCGGAAGCGGCGGAGGTGGTGGAGGAGTCGCCGGTGGAGGCGGTGGAAAATTGGTGAGCCCTCTGGCGAGTCGTTTACCACCCCATCATCCCCTTCATCCCGCGATGCACACGGGAACGCAGTTCGTTCGACCTCATCCGGACTTCTATCGGAATCTGTACGGCGCCTCACACTTAGGCTCGGGTGACATGTCCCTGTTGGAGACTTATTCGAGGACCTTGGGCGGCCTCGGTGGAGTGATGCCACCATCCACCGCCCCGAGTATACTTACGTCTTCGTCGTCAGCTGTGTCGGCTAGTGGTAATGTTAAGCCTTTCTCGATTAACGGCGGCAGCGGTGCTCCTGGTGGACCAGGTGTGCTATTAACGACAGTTACCTCGGGCTTGTCACCCTCGTCCTCGTCGACAGCGTCCTCGGGCGGGTCGGAACAGTCGCCCCATCCCAGCGGTAGTCTGTCGTCCACGCAGGAACTGAAATCCCCCGGACGAGTGTGATTCCGCGTGATCGGACGATGGACATAAATTTAATGACGTTTACTAAATAACCGAGGTATAATCGAGGGACGGATCGCCGCGCAGCCTGGGTGCGTTGAAAGCGCGGCGCTGTGTGGTGTGGATGACAATAATCAGAGACTACGATCCTTGTAATTAGTGTACAGTTTACTTGAACGAAGAACGTCGGAACGAGATATCACGAATATAATAATACTGCCCCCCCCCCTTTCCCCTTTCAGAAATCATCATCCCCTGGTCTCTCTCTCTCTGTCCACCGTTCCTAGTCTGTCTCTCTCTCTCTCTCTCTCTCTCTGTTTTCTTCGTCTTTTCGGGTAACCCTTTCGCGCTTCCCCTTTGGTAATAGCCCCGTTAGTTCCTGCTCCCTCTTTCTCTCTTTCTCCCGTTCTTCGTCGTCGTACGTTCTTCTGTCCGCGACGAGAATCGGAGACAAGTGGTTACAAGACGGGAGAGAAAAAGGGGAAACAGGAAACACACAGTTGAAGGAGAAGAGTAGGCCCGTTTATCTCTTCCGTAGAGCAGCTAAAAAAAAGATCATCGCGGTCCTTATGATGGAAAAAAAGTAATATGAATAAAATAAAAAAAAAGATGAACACACACACACACACACAGACACACGTACACACACTCTATCCTAGGCGTGTCTACTCTGACAAGTAATATTATACATAAAGAATACTATATATATAAATACACACAGGATTAATAATAATGATTATTTATGCGTTTGTAAATAGTAGAGAGGGCCCAGTAGAGAGCGTCCGGCCAGTGTATGTATTGTATGTAGAGTAGGTACGATATTATTATTATAATATTTGAGATCATAATTCATACTAACGACGACAAAAATTATTGTTATTGCAATGTTTATAATATTATCGATTCACGTCGACTCGGTCGATCATGACGAGGTATGGATCGTTGATTGCTGTGACAGATTACGGAGGACGCGTGGGTGCGCAAACCAACAGAGGGATAAACCGAAAAAGCCCCGTCGACGCTGACGAAAAAAAAAGAGGTTACAAGGGGTTTTTCGAATGTGTATGTGTGCTCGAGTTTCTCCGTTCGTAAGTATTATTTATTTATTGCTCGGGCGCCTTCGAGCGACAACGTGGCCCGGGGAAATCGGTCGCTGATCGTGATATAAAGAAATAGGCGAACGCGTGGAAACTGTGTGAATCGTTCGCGCGATTTTACGTGTACCTTCTCCTTTCGGTTGACCTTTTCGTTTCTCCCGTTTTCCGTATTTTTCAATTCGAACGATTTCTCCGCGATCGGACGCGGTATCGTCGAACGCGCTCGAATCCGGCCGTAATCTGACAGGAAAACCATTGGAACCTGCGTTGCGCCCTGCTGTCGCCTGAGACAAGGGTGGCTTTACGTTCCCTTCTTCCCGGCCCTTTTTCGAGGAAAGGGGGAAAGTAGGTGAAACACAGAGGAGAAAGAAAAGTTTGTAACGTACGCGTACTATTATTATTCGAGGAGAGTGTGTGTGTTCTCGTTGGACGAGAGACGCGCGCGACAGACGCAGGGGCGCAGCGACTGTCAACATATCATGTCATGTCGAGAGTGAACGATCGCCATCACCTTTTAGTCATTCGTGTCCAAAATTTCACGCGAGCTCGCTGATCCGCCACATTGGCAGATGGCTTGCAGACTGTGTCCTTTCGCAATAAACGAATCATTATAAAAAAAAAAAAAAACAAAACAAAACATTGCTACGTCTCTCTATTCTCGGAGCCTTTTGTCGTTTCCTCCTTTCATCCTGGTTTACCCCCGGTCCTTGCGATCGATCATCGTTCGGATCTGTGAGAAGATGGTACGAAGAAGGGTGCCTCGGTGGTGGGAAAAGGTGAGTGATTTTGAAGATATCCTTGGTTTTATTCCAACTGCACACCGAAGCTTCTTAATCCTCTCTTTCCGAGAATGGCAGAAATTATTTTCTGTAGAATTATTTGGTGGAACATTTTGATGAAGGTTTTCAACCCTTCATCTGGTCCCTGAGAGTGGCACAAATTATTTTCCCAACCCTTTCTCTCGTCTCTTTCACCATTTTATCGCTGAGAATTTATTAGAACCATTTTCCGTCACATCAAATTCTTTTCCGTTTTATTAGACCGTTGAATTCTCCCAACACAGAGTTCTTCGCTAATTTTTCTACCGATCTTTCCTAGAAATCTTCTTGCTTCCATTGCAAGTGTTAACGCGCACACTAATCCCCACCGCCGAAAATCCTCAGTAGCATGCACAGCCACGTGTGTACAGCAACGTCTGCGAAACAGTTGGTGGTTGTTAACGAGACCGGGTTCACGAAGAAGCGAACGAGAAGCCGAATGATAATGCCGGTGGTCGGCTAATCGCGGGGCGCATGCATCGGGAGCGTGTAGAGAGACAATACGCGGCGGAAAGAGGAGAGGAGGATTCCTCCTGTTCTGGTGAACGAGAGAGGAGTCTCGGTCGGCTGGCGGGCAGCGGCGACGGCCGCCACGGCGGATGAATATGAAACGTCCTCTCGTTCTCGGAACCGGCCGTAAGATGTACTTATAAAAATGCAAAGCGACCGACTTCTGGGTGGTTGCGGGACAAGCTTGGTTATTAGTAAACATTTAAATCGACAATCGCTATAGGTATACAGAAGAGGGACAGCAAACGGGGAATGCGACGGCCTGGTTCCCTTCTTTTGCCCTCTCTACCCATCTTCTGTCCCTCTGTCACTCTCTCGCAACTCTGCTCCATACCTTTCTCCGTCCTCCTCCTCCTCCGCACTGCCTGGATAAAGGGAGAAAGAGAGGAAGGGGCCCAGAGATCGAGCGTGGTGGAGGAAACAAGAAATCAAGCCGCGGGACCACCCGCCACGGCCTTGGGGGCACCGAGCCGCGGATCCCAAGGAGGTCCATCCCGTCTTCATGAATCAACTCGTTCCTGAATCGGCATAAACCTTCAAAGGGTTGTTGTGCGGGTCCTGCCTCTGTGCCCCGCTCGAGCTAGATCCCGCAGAGTTATGTGGACGCCTGTGTCCCTTTCCGTTTGGCTCCCTCTGCGACCGCGACCCCGCTACCTCGCTCTTTCTCCCTTTGTCTCTTCTCTTCTCTTCTCTGCCCTTGTACAGGGCGGACCTGTACGGAATTATCACCTCGAATATCTTTAGGACTGTGCAACTAGGAAACAGATTTTTTATTCGAAGAGCAATTGTAAATTTGTGTTCGTCTTAGGGGTTGTTATTAGCAAATGAACGAAAATGCGGCGTGTCGTTAAGGTAACAGAGACGACCTTCTTATCTCTTCAGCAAGGAAACGCATAAAGAAATCGTTTGGACTGTATGACGGTTTCTTTTATAGCAGATAAAAGGACATTCCTAAATTTGTTTCTTACTCTCGCGATTTCCGAGGTATTCGAGAATCATTTTTAGCGGTCTTTGGAGTGGGATTAATTTATATTCGCAAGGGATAGAAATACGGTAGCTTCTGGAGATTCCTGAGCATCGGAGAATTTCGGAACCGCTGATCGTCGATTCTCCGAGTTTCAGTTCCAATAAATTAGTCACCCTCTTCTCCACGTCCCTCCATCTTTTCTGCAAAGCTATTATACCGTCGCTGTAAAACTTCTTCCATTTTTTGTTAAAACATTTTTCAATATTATTCCTCGTAGAGTCGACAATGTCTTTGCAAGTTTCACGAAATCACTGGAAATGAATTTTTCTACCTTTGCACAGTGTGCACGTTCGTCGAATCTACCTCGAAGCACAAGGCGCACCGCGAAGAGGTACCGTACGACCCGATATTTCGTCGCGTACGATTTATCCCCGTGGCGAATGAAATTAATTTGTCGGTACACACGATTACGGGTGGACGCGTTCGCGTTGGCTCGCGTCTAATTTTAGAATTGCAAAAATGTATTACGGCGCGCGGTTAATGCGGCGAACGGCATTTAAATTGCCCGGTAAACCCGTTTTATGCCACCATAAAGATACCGATGTGGAAAAATGCAGGTGGTGTATACGCGAGGAGAGGTCTAAGGCGACGTTTCCACCGATGTCTCGAACCGCCACGGCGACGTAGAGGTCCGAGATAAAACCGTGGCCATTACCAATATATAGTAGCTCAAGTTGCAAAATGATCGTGTCGCCGAGCACTAACCGAGACAACACTATCTGCCGCCGAACCGAAGGGGATGCGCAGTTTTTAGTGGCATTACCCGCTCGAACAGACGATAATCGACCACTTATCTTACCTCTGTACAACCGTGAATACTGTGCGAACACCCTTAGTGCGTGGCGGCGGTTACCGCGACGGAATAACCTGCACACTCGCGTCTTACAATGTTTCCGTACGCTGCTTCGAGCACGATAAAGGTTAACACGAGGCGATTAACGTAACTCGCTTCATTGAGATTTTGACGGCTGCATTTTTTTCCTCTTAGCTCTACTCGACTCTCTCTCTCTCTCTCTCTGTCGCTTTATCGACGGTAAGTTTCAACAGTTAGAAACTGTAGACGTGTAAATACACTTTCTCGCTAGGTTTGAATACATTTGGGAGCACTTAACCCTTTCGCGACACCACTAGCCACTCGAAAAGCGTACACGTTATGTGGGAGCGTAGGATGGCTACCAGCTTTTATGCACATGGTGTGCACCATTGTTTCAAGTTATTGTTCGAGTTATTACCGGGGTGAATTAGTTGGTTTAACGGAGTCGACGAATTTTTTTGCTAATTTTTATTTTTGGTTACGTGGTGTTTGTTAAATTTAATTTGTTACGGGGGGAGGGTTAATGGAGAGGTTGTGAAAAAAGGGTAGTGTATAGTTGGTGGAAGGAATATAGGGAAGTTGGAAATTAAAGTATAAGTAGCGCCACAGATTGGCGCTCGATTTCTGGACTGAAACAAGACTGAGATTTCAGGTTCTTATCTTCTGTATTTCTTTCATTAACTATACAATGTCTCTGGTAGCCTCAAACATCGTTTAAATTACAAATCACCCTACAA